ATGGGCACACTGTGTGTGCAGAGACTATGAAAAGCCCCTGCCCCCAATACTAAACCTACATTAGTTAGCATGCCCAACACAAGGTCAAAGTAAACAAGCAATGTTTACCATTTAAGAATCAAGAATAAGAAAAGTGTTTACATATATGTCCAGTCCATAGCTGGCTGAATCTGAGATTGGTTGAAGCAATGAAGGTAGAACCCCCATCCAAGAAGGGCTGGCTATAGGAAACGAAGCAACTACTGTGTGTTCATGTGTTGGGTACAGATGTGCATGTCATGGAATGTATGTGGGGGTCAAAGGACAACCTGAGGCATCAGTCCTCGCCTTCCACCCTGTTTGAGGCAGGGCTGCTACAGTCTCAGCTGTGTACACACCGGTAGACCCAGGAGCTGTGAGGGATTCTCCTGTCTTAGTCCCAGCTCTCCATGCAGCACTGAGAGTGCAGACACATCCACCAGTCATGTTTCACAGGGGTTTTGAGAGCCAAACTCAAGCTGTCAGGTTTGCAAGGCAAGTACTTCACCCACTGAGCCATCTCCCCAGCCCTGCAATTTCTTTCTTCCATGCAAAACAGATAAAAAGAAGTGTGGTAAAGTGGAAGTGACCACCTGTGTGTGTGATGACTGCACTTCCTGCTCTTTAAGTCTGACTTCTTTTTAAATTAGAAATATTTACTTGTTGGCAGGGGCACCATAGCATGCATGGGAGGTTGGAGGGCAACTAGGAATCTCTCCTTCCACCATGTGGGTGGAAGGAGAACTGAAGAATCCAACTCAGGTCTTCAGGCTTGGCAGCAACAACCTTTACCCTGAGCCATCTTACTGGCCCCACCAGTTTGTTTTTTAATGAGCATGCTGGTTTTCCCCTTTTTTGTTGCAGTGTGGCTTCATACGGAATGTAATCTCCAAAAAATAAGCAATGTCCCTGCTAACCAAAACCTGACAGAGACAAAGCCAGGGCCAGAACCTCTGTTCCCTCAGGGTAACCAACACCCCATGATGACAAAGTAGAACCAGAGCCTCAGGCACAAACCTCTGCCAAGCAATCGTTAGCCCCTCCTATAATACATGCTTTGCTTCATTTTTTATTTTTGTTCAAAAATATTTAATTACCATAATATTTTAGAAACCAGCCTTATATGACATTTCAAATATTTATAACCTTTTAGATATTCTTTGGCCTTTTTGGCTATGTTTTTGTTTTGAGATAGGGTCTCACTCCATAGCCAAGGCTGGTCTAGAACCCACTATGGAGCCCAGGCTGGCTGAAAACTCAGAGCAGGCCTCCTGTTCAGCCTCCTAAGTGCTAGAACCTCAGGTACAAGCCACCACACCTTGCTTAGACACTCTTTCAATGAACACTGCTACCACTCAGCCACGTTTGGTTAAATTTTCAAATACAAAGCAGAATAAATTTGAAAATTTAAACCAAAAAGGAAATCGCTACTCTTTCTTTTCTTGAAACAAGGAGTTTCCTTTGGCTTGCACACCTGCCTCACTGCTGCTCACACTCAGATATGATGGCATGCAGCCCATTCTCCCCTAACAATCAAGAGGCTGTCTGAGAACTCCCTCTCCCAGGGAACGTGGATAACAGGCCTCTAGAATGTTTAGCATATTTATAGATTTCTCTTTTAGACAGAAAAAGAGCAAAATTCATTGGGAATTTCTGGTGTTGACTTAGCTCAATACAGTGACAGCAAAGATCTTCACAACTGTCACCTGAAGAAGAAACCAGCAGCAGAGGTGTCCGCTGTGGCATTGAGTTTTCCCTGGTAACACCTATATCTTCAGCACCTTGGCTCTTCCAAAGTCTCTGGAGAAACTGTGACTTCATTTCACATCCTAAATTCATCCCCAGATTTATTTCCAAACTATAGCACACCCATAGACATAGGTCAAAGCTTACCTCCTTCAGCGCCCAGGTTGGATGAGTTGCAAGGATTTCATAATCTCCAGGAAGAACTTTAAAAAATGCAAACCTGAGAAACACAAAATAGCATATCGCTTAACCCAAGTTTTAGGCAGAGACTATGTGGGAATTATTGTAGGCTTCCAATAGCTACTAGATCCAATTCTGTCCAAACCCACTCACTGAACACTCCCCATGTGCCAAGCAAGAAAAGCCACTCTGCACACTGCTGACAAACAGAGGGCCAACACTCCCAGTACCTCCAGGAATCCTGGCATCAGCTCACAATCAGCAGGTTTGAGTGGCATGAACAGGAAGAAGAGAGGAGAGAAAAACAAACAAACAGCTAAAAACTAAGAAGTGGGAAGGGAGAAGTTGTGTGGAAGAGGAAAGCAAACCCCCGGCTGAGGCAGATGGTTCAATACAGTATGACCCTAAAGCCGGTGTGGTGACATGCACCTGTAACTCCTGTATTCAGGAGGCTGAGACAGGAAAGTTGAAAATTCAAGGTGGGTGCTAAAGAGATGTCTCAATGGCTAAGAGCACTGACTTCTTCCAGAGTACTCCAGTTCAGGGGATGCAGTGCCCTCTTCTGCCTTCCATGTACACACAGCAAGTGTGCATGTAAGTGCTGCACAGGCAGACATGGAAGCAAGGCACTCACACATGTAAATTAGAACAAAACATCCAAGGCCAGCCTGGACCACAGTGTGACCCTGTCTCTCAAAATAAAATGGAACAAAAAAACCACATTAAATAAGACAAAAGATGATGCCAAGTGTACTGTTATGAGATGAGAAGCTCTGGTTCACCTATTATCTGAACAAGGGTGAGCCACCTCGAGTTCTTTCCTAGAGTAACTGTGATGAAGCCATCAGCCAATAAGCAAGATTCTAGAGACTCCAGGTAAACTAAGGTCATGGCCAGCTGAGCTGGGGCTGCAAACACTACAGAGTCCTGGCAGGGAAAACCCAAAGAAAGCACCTGCCAATAAGAAGCTAATTTTGCCACAAGGAACTTACTACAGGCAGTTTGCATTCTCCCGCAGTCTATCAAATTTTGTCTGGACAGTGCTTGAGAACCACTTTGCTACAACAAAGCTGAAGGGCCACTGGATTCTGGCATTGTTAAGATTTAGCTTTCTACTCCCCAGGTCCCCACATGTGCTCTGAGCACTGCTTAGACAGTGCAGGGCAAAGGAGTCCAGAAGGATTAAGGTGGCTCCCGGTGAGGTCTACAACAAACTATGGCTGGGCATCCTTCGTTTGAACATCAGAAATCCAAGATCAGAACTTTTTGAGTACCGATATTATGCCACAAAAATTGGAAATTCTACTTTCAGCCTGCATGCTTAAAATAGGCACCAGACATAAATGAAGTTTATGTTCAGATGTGAGCCCCATCCCTGAAGGCACACGTGTTGAAGTCATGGTTCCCTGGTACAGTGTTCAGAGGTGGAACTCTATGAAGTGACTGGGACAGGAGGGCTTTGGCCTAACCAAAAGCACAGCCTATTAACTGATTCAGGATAGGACGAACTATTGGGAAGTAGTGGGGAACATGGAGGGTGGGGCCTCACAGGAGGAAGTCTGTCACTGGGGCAGGGGGCAGGGCTTCACTGCAGGAAGTGCCTCACTGAGGTAGGGAGCCCAGAAACACCAAGGCTAAGTGTCCATGGTATGAAGCCATGAGTCAGAGCCTCCCTCCAGTCAGTTGCATTTATCAGCACTGAGAAACCAGCACATTACATGTGTGAAACATTGCAAATTCTGGAAAACCCCACATCCAAAGCCCTTCCAGTTCCAAACACTTGGCTAAAGGCCACTCAGCCTGGGCTGGACCAGGAAGCAGCACAGCCCTGTACTCCTCCAGGCATCAGGGACAAACGCTCAACAGCAGTCACTTCTAAGTTGGATAACACACTAGAAGCTGACTATCAACTTCAGTAGCGTTTTGGCTGGGTTTTGTGTACTGAAGTAATAATGCTCTAAATGTTTGCAAAAGTATCAGCTCCGATTATTCTGGTATTAATCCCAACATATCTGTTAACAGTCACAGTTGAGCTCTCCCACTGCACAGGTCAATTAACAGCCCTTTAAATTTCATTCCCCAAGGTTAACTAAACAGCCATCACGTCCAACTACTAAAGTGCTGTCTTTAAAGCCAGCAATGCTCATTAGCACCACCTGGCCAATCTAAGGACCTTCCCAGTAACCTCTAATCACTTCCATCTGTAAATTAGAAAAGCAAAGCAGATGGGTGAAGTAACCTGTCCCAAGCCAAAGGGCAAATTGAGGAGCCCATTCAAATGCAGACCTGGAGCACTATCTGTACATAGATAGCAGCTGGTAATCACCGGCTCCTGCACAGTGGGTCAGGACTCCCACTTGAAGAGGAACGTGGGCTCTGAAAGCACAAACTTGTTTAAGAGGCCAAATCAGGATCTGAGCTCGGCTCCCTCAACCCAAAGCTCCCCATGCCCGCCACAGCCTGGTCTAGCAACCAGCCTAGGCTCCAGGACACCACTCACTTTCCACCAGGCTGTGTGACTGTGGACTGGATCTTCGCATCAGTGCCTGTGCTTCTCATGGACACCTGAACTCCTGCAGGGCCCAGTGGCTGCCCTTTGCTGAGGACCTGTGAGGAGGAGGATGTTAGGCAGGTTTTATTCATGCTCCTACCCCCCAAGTGGCACCTAAAACATTTTTCTTTGGGTCAAGGGTCTCTTTGAAGATGATGTAGTCAGGAGACCTTTATGGAAGGCTATGGAGAGAGGGGACAAGGACAGGAAAATACTGTACCACTGAATCTAAGACAAAATGTATATCACAGTGGGGCTGGAGGCTGCTCAGCAGTTGGTTAAGAGTGTACACTGAAGCTGGGCAGTGGTGGTGAAAGCCTTTAATCCCAGCACTTAAGAGACAAAGACAGGCACAAATATGTGAGTTCAAGGCCAACCTGGTCTTCAGAGAGAGTTCCAGGACAGTCAAGGCTGATTCACAGAGGAAACCCTGTCTCAAAAAACTGAAAAGTGCACACTGCTCTTGCAGAGGCCTGGAGTTAAGTTCTCAGCATCCCATCAGACAGCTTGTAACTGTTTTAACAGTTCTGATGCCTCTGGCCTCCAAAGACACCCATAGTCAAATATACATATCCACACATAATTAAAAATAAAATAAATCTTTTTTAAAAATGTCAATATTTTACAAGTCACTAGGAAAGAAAAAATACCCAGATCCCTCTTCTACATATGAAACAGCTGGGGGCCTCACTTGTTGAGACCCCCCAGCACGGGGACCTCATCTCTACTCAGGGACTGGATGGAGGGAAGGAGGAGGACTCTAATGAGAAAGCAGCTGGGAGCAGGCACTCATACAGCACCACACTCACTGCCCAGGGTTCCAACACCTCCCCAGAGCAGTTTCTAAAGGAGGCAGAAGACAAAAAGGCTCAGGAGGAGGTGCCACTGGCAGAAGCCTCCCTGGAGGGACTGCACCTAGCTCTCACACAGCAAGCGCAACCACTCAGGTCTTGGGCACATGCCCTTCCCTTTCTGCACCCCGACCACAGGCCATTCCCCACCATCAGGCTGACCCCAGGCTGCCAGACCCCTGAAGCTCACTGTGAGTGACCCTAGGTGCAAGAGCCCCACTTCTGTAAGGTTGAGAGGAGGTGGCACACGGCAGGGCAGTGTAGAAAACAGCAGGCAGAGCCTGGAGTCAGACCTTTCCATTCACAGAGAAGCCAGTGAAGACAAAGTTGATGTCTCCACCCTGCGTGCAGATGTCACTGACACCATCCACGTGCAGATCCACACTGGTTGGCTCTGGGGGAAAACCGGGAAAGGAGAGGTAGGGACAAGAGACAAAAGGCAACGTGAGTGCCAGGAACACAATTCCCAGCCAGACTCTTCGACATATTTCTACATGTAATGCCCTCACATGATTGGAGCTCAAATAAAGGCACAAGTCTCCTCGAACCCCACCCTGTCCCCTGGCATCCTAAACAAACTTTCAAGTGCACTGAGGATTCAAAAGTAACCCCAAATGCACGGAGGATTCGCCAAGAACCACACTGCAGCCGTGTTGTTGGTGCTGCATGTTTGTGGTACCTGTACCTGTGGGTATGTACATATGCATATGGAGACTAGCGGTCAATGCTGGCTGTCTTACTCGATAGCTCCCGACCTTACTTTTTGTTGTTGCTTTTTGTTTTTCGAGACAGGGTTTCTCTGTGTAGCCCTGGCTGTCCTGGAACTCACTTTGTAGACCAGGCTGACCTCAAACTCACAGAGATCCTCCTGCCTCTGCCTCCTGAGTGCTGGGATTAAAGGTGAGCACCACCACCACCCGGCTCTAAAATATGTAGCTCAGGCTGGCCTTGAACTCATGATCCTCCTACCTCCGCCTCCTTCAGCAAATCCTACCAGCAGCCCTTACCTTACTTTTGAGGCAGGTCTCTCACTAAATCTGGACCTATCAATTTGCCTTGGCTGACTGGCCAGCAGCAGCCTAGGGATCCTCTTGTCTCTATGTTCACGGACACAAGCCACTATGCTTGGCATTGACATGAATCTGAACTCAGATCTTCATGGTTACACAAGAAGCACCTTACCAACTGAGCCAAAGAAATCACCATAGACCAGGCACCCAGCCCAGTGCATTCTTCAGGAGATACAGGAATTTATCAAGGAGTAACTGAATCATGAGAAGGTTGAAGGATCTTTCTACAGAGTGTGTGACACAACTCCAATCTCACACACTGGCTCCAGGTCTAAAGAGGACCATCAACTCCATGGCAACAGGAACCTCTCAGAGAGGACATGAGCAGTGCAGGTTAAGGGGACAATAACAAATGGAAAAGGCAGCCCTGACTCAGTCTTACTACCTGTTGCCACACCAGCCCATCTGACCAAGCTTCTAAAGCCCATGAATATGGGTGTTGAGGGAGACCATCTGATCCTTCAATATCACACATTGCATCTTCTTTAGAAAACCGAAAGGCTCATCACAAGAGAAATTACAGTTGAGCTGTTAGAACACAGGAAAAGGGCTGGGGAGACGGCTGGGTCAGTGAAGTGTTTGCTACATACACATGAGGACCCAAGTCTGATCCCCAGAACCCACAGAACAGCATCATGCATCAGTATTCCAGAGCTGAAAAGGCAGAGATGGGGTTCCTGGAGCTCACTGACCAGCCTGCTCAGCCAAATCAGTGAGTTCCAGGCTCAGTGGGAGACCCTGCCTCAAAAACTAAGGTGGGGAGTGATTGAAGAAGACACCTGATTTTAACCTCTGGAACATACATATTTGTGGGCACAGACACACAAACATGCCGGGGGGAGAGGAGGGCTGGTGATACCAGCCCTGGGCAGGTGGCCTTGGAGTGTATAAGAAAACTGGCTGAACAAGCCATAGAGAACAAGCTATTTTGTAATTTCCTCCATGGTCTCTGCTTTAGTCCCTGCCTCAGCTTCCCTCAGTGACGAAGTGTTGACCAGAGAGTGTGGGCTGAAATAAACACTTTCCTCCCCAAGCTGCCTTCCATATGGTGTTTCATCATCACAACAGTAGAAACCCTAAGACACTCATGGACACACACACACAAAGAATCTGTGCAGCAAAGGAAGTGACCTAGAGCCACATTCAGTAAAGATGAGTGTCACAAACAAGATTAGAAGAGACCATACACTTTAAGAAGCAGCCTGTATGATCTCATCTAGCTCAAGTTCAAAACAAAATGCAGCTACACAGTGCGTGGGGCTCAGGCTGTAATCCCAGCTAACTGGGACTCAGCAACTAGAGCCCCAACATTACTGAAGCAGGGCTTCTCTAGAGAAAGGAGCTGCAGGTGGCCTTTTGTCAGGGTAAGGAATCCCTCAGGTGCCACACTTGTGTCCAGGCTACAGACTGTATCATCCACTGCCCATAGACAAGTCCCCCCTCCACAGAGCCAGCATCTCCAGTCCCGTGTACATGTGGATTCTGATCTTACAACGTTTAAACACTTCCCTTATTTTAAGGGGGAAGCGGAGCCAGACACTGTAGCACACATCTGTATCCTCAAATGCAGGAGGCTGACACAGGAAGATGCTGAGTGAGGCTAGCCCGGGCTGCACCATGAGACCCAAAGACATAAATATCCCTGGTCCTGGGACACGAAGAAGGCCCCAGTTCGCATCTAGATGGCGTAATGAACTGAAGCTGAAAAGGCAGTTCTTCCAGAAAGAGGTAGACCACGAAGGATGCTTTTTGTAAGAAAACGACAGTCAGTGCACAGTGTGGTCCCCTGCAAAGCACCCTGTAACTCAGCTCACTTACCAAAACTCCAGCCCAGGGGAGGCTCAATCTTCAGGATGAAATCCCCCTACAAGGAAAACCATGAAAGGTGAAGGCAGGAGACCTGCAGACCCAGGGTAGATAGATCCCAAACAGCCCCATCTGAAATAAAATCCTCCACCAGGCTCTTCTAAATGGTGGCAGCTGGATTCCCTTCCAGGAGCAGCCAGCTGAAGCTGAACACCCAGAAATCTCCATCTAGCAACATTTGTAAAGACTTGGGTTGGCATGGGACCCACAAAAAGATAGAAGAAAGGTGACTCCCACAGGTTGTCCTCTGACCTAAAAATACATACCCACACCCACACCCACACACCCCAAGGCAGGCAGGCCTGTACCCACTCCCACATGCTACACACAAAATAAATAAATAAATATTTTTGAAATATTATTAAAGGTAAACACAAGACTCTACCAAATCTGAGTCCTTCGATCCTGGCGCATGTGACAGTTGGAGTAAACTGCAGTGTTGAGAGCTGTCTGGCTCACTCCTGCCCTCCCCTTGCTAAATTGCCTGCAGCATCCCCTGTGAGGCTGTGAGGGCTGGAATGTCTGGAGATATTGCCAAATGTACCCCACTGAATCTACTCAACCGTGGGAAATCTGCATTCCACTGATCATTACAATACAAATTATTTGCACATGGAGGAAGGCCATGTTCCTTGTCACTACAGTCATTTGGAAATGCTAATTAATTACTTCCTGTCATAAGAGCCACTCGATGAAGACTGGAGTCCCTCTGCCTCTTACCTTATCATACAAGGGGATCATAAAGTAGCCGTTGTTAGGAGCACAGTCTGTCTGATATTTCAAAGTCCCATGCTTGGTGTACAACTTTATCTGGAAAGCAAGAAAAGAAAACTAAAGTCCTAATATTGTTTTAGAGAATTAGTTACCATGAAATGCCTGCATGCCTTCTATCGACCTGTGTTAGCCAAGTGCTTTCTACACACCAGCTGCTAAAACAGCTTTGGGGACAGAGGGAAAGAAAACAGAGCACCCCAAAATAATGTTATTTATGTTTCTTTTAAACCACTTTTGACCTACTCCAAAAGCCTTGCTTTTTGAAGCTTTTCTGTTTGCTTAAGTATATGTCTTTGTTTATGTAAATTTGAGTCTAAAACTTTCTAATTTTGCTATTAGCAAGGCACTTGTGAAAATCCAGATTCCCAGGCCAGCAGGATGCTAAACAGGTTAAGGCACCTACTGCCCAAAACTGGAGACCTGAGAACCCACATCAAGGTTGATGGAGAGAACCAATTCCACAAGGTCATCCTTGGACCTCACACACAGCATGCATGGACACACACAATAACATGTATTTAAATCCATGGCTGCCTGCCCCTCAGTTCCACCCCAGCACTGCAATTTAGACATAAAGGCAAGTCAAGAGGCAGACTGCTGAGCTGCCCTGCAAAGGCTTTACTCTAAGGTCTGGAATGAGCATTGGGGCCTGCATTATTAGCCCCAAATGATTCTAGATGCTCAGAGGAATGTTCCCCTAAAACCCTCCACTGCCACCATCAGAACAAAAATTGATGTAAAAGACATTCAATGCATTAGCTTTCCTCAAGGCCAGGCTACAACTGCTGCACCCTAAGCCTCTCCAGACACAAACCTCTCAATTGAAAGGTGCAAAGCCGTATCAGGGTCTCCCTACACTGGGTGACCTTGACAAAGTCATGGTGCCACCAGAGGCCAAGCTTCTTCACAGTAAAAATGGAAAGACCAGGCTGGAGAGATGGCTCAGGGGTTAAGAGCACTGACTGCTCTTCCAGAGGTCCTGAGTTCAATTCCCAGCAACCACATGGTGGCTCACAGGCATCTGTTATGAGATCTGGTGCCCTCTTCTGGTGTGCAGATATACATGGAAGCAGAATGTTGTACACATAATAAATAAATAAAATCCTAAAAAAAAAAAGTCAACACAGCTTATATCACCACATTAAAAAAAAAAAAAATGGAAAGACCTTGTTTCAGGATGGATGCGTTTACTCACAGTGGTGTGGTAATCGTCAGGCATGGAGTGCAGACTCAAAAAGAAGGGATTCTATTTAATATCTCTCTGAAGGAAAAGCCACTTGGCACCATCAGCCAGAGACACACCAGACGGTTACAGGCAAACTCCCTAAGCCGGCCTGTGTGGCTCAATGCCTCTGAGCCTCAGTGTCCCACTCTGTAAAGATGACATCAAAGAGCCTGACCTCTAAATATGAATGTTGGGGCTGGAGAGTAGCTCAGCAATTAAGAGTAATTGTAGCTCTTGTGGAGAACCAGAGTTCACTTCCAGCTCAAGGGGATCCAATGCCCTCTTCCTTGCCCCTAAGGACACTGTACCCATATGCGCATAGCCACACACAGATATACATAAACACTGTTTTTTAAAAAAAAAGAATATTCTATGGCAAACACACAGACATGATCCAGTGGAGTCTCAGAAAACAATACAAGCAGCCAGGCCCCAGAGCTCCCTTTAGAAGAGGCAGGGTGAAGTAGGGCGTGGTCTGCAGTGCTCAAGGACACAGTCCACACAGCAACTTAGTTACTTTAGAGTCCAGCTATTCAGTTAAGTGTAAAAATGAATTTGCTCCAGGCCATAAAGAAATTCGGATGTGCCAGGCGTTGGTGGCACACACCTCATGTGGGATGTCCTTCTGTACACTACATATGTGTTTATATTGATATATGCTTTTATTGATTGATAAATAAAACCGTTTCAGCCGATTACTGACTAAGCAAAGTAAAATCAGGTGAGAAATCAGAACAGAGAGAGAGAGAGAGAGAGAGAGAGAGAGAGAGAGAAGGAGAAGGAGAAGGCTGGATAAGACAGACACCATGTAGCAGCTGGGGAGGCAAAATGCCAGGGCATAACCGGTAAGCCACAGCCACCTGGTGATACACAGATTAGTAGATATGGGTTCATTTATGAGAGATAGCCAGTAATAAGCCTAGCCATTGTCCAATCAAGTATAAACATATATTAAGCCTCTGAGTGGTTATCTTATAAGCAGCTTCAGGGACCTGGTGGGCAGAGAGAAAATGGTCAAGTGGGACCAGGCTAGATGGAGAAAAGCCCTACACCTACACTTGCTTTTAATCCCAGCACTCATGAAGTAGACAGGGGGATCTTTGTGAGTTCAAGGCCAGCCTGGTCTACAGCCTGAGTTCCAAGACAGGCTCCAAAGCTACATAGGAAACCCTGTCTCAAAAAGCCAAAAAAAGAAAGAAGAGAGGGTGGTGGGTTCAGGTGCTGCACATGCACTAGCCTAAATGACCGGGAGGCAGCACCCAAGGGAGTCACTGGCTCTCTGCTCCACCTAAGCCATGCCCTACAACTTGAAGATGGCTGCTTATCAGGAGAAACACTCTGTGTGTGTGTGTGTGTGTGTGAGAGAGAGAGAGAGAGGGGGGGGGGGAGAGTTTAAGCAATAGGATAACTTCAGCTGCCACTCCTTAGGAGCTGTCTACCTTAGTTGTTCAGACAGGCTCTCTGAAAGGTGTGACACTCACCAAGTGGGCTAGGTTGGCCGTGTTTTTGGTTTTTTTTTAATCACATGGGTTCAGGGGATGGAACTCGGGTCCTCATTCTGCATAGCAAACACTTCACTGACTGAACCTTCCACCCCAAGTCCAAGACCCAGTTTTGAGGTGAATTCTGACTGCTAAACCACTAGAACCTATAATTTTTAAAGATGTATGTACTTTTACATATGAGTGTTTTACATAAATGTCTATGCATCCGTAGGTGCCTGAAACCCACAAAGGCCAGAGAGGGTGTCAGATCCCCTGGGACTGTAGTTACAGATGGTTGTAGACTATCATGTGAATGCTGAGAACCAATGCTGGTCTTCTGCAAGAGCAGCAAGTACTTTTAACCACTAAGCCATCTCTCCAGCCTTGGTAATTCTTCTTTTTAAAGGACAAAATGTCAAGTCCAGAACTTTGTCTGGTCCTTTTTCTGCACTGAGATTCCCCCATCTGAGACAAGCTTTCAGTATATGCACTGAGAAGACAGACACCTTGGGCAGAAACAGAATGAGGACGGCTGGGAAGAATGATGGGAAAGCAGCCAGGTGTGGTTGTGCAGCCCCTGCAGGCCCAGCATCTGGGATGCTAGGGCAGGAGGATCACAAGTTCCAGACTGCCTGGGCATGTCTCAAAAGAAAAAAAGGGAAAAAAAAAAAGAGGAGAAAGGGGGAGGAGGAAAGACTGAAATACCCAGATTACTTACATGTTATAAATTGCATTGTATTGATGAATTGTCACATGCTGTTTGAGCTCACTGAGAAGCTGGCTCTAGTAGCAGTATTGTCCCAACTCCACTGCAGACCTAAATATGTTTGTCTAAAAGTGTCTTCCAAGGACTGACTCTATCCCTGAGACAGGGAGTGAAGAAAATAGCAAAACACCCCAGGAGATGGGACAGACTTAGTAGACTTTCTAGAGGAGACCTTACCCTCTCCAAGGAGCAGTTGGAAGGGGGGTAGGAGGAAGTGGAGGGAGCAGGAGAGGAGGAAGGGGGAACTGTTATTGGAATGTGAAAAATAAATAAAACCCACCCCAGGAGTAAAACATCACCTCATGGAGCACACCCAGAAGGTGACCATTCCTAACAGGTGTCACTACTGTTCATCCCATGACATAAAAGTGCCTGCCTGAGGAAGTTACAAGTTCCGCCATGGGAAACTCAGGCATGGAGAGGAGCTCAAGCAGGGCTTCCCCAGTCAGCTTCTGATGGGTGCTGTTAGACCTGGTTTGATGGTATCATCTCCATATGGGTAAAGTTTTTTTACACTGTTGAGGGCTCCACTGACTGCCTCAGTGCACTTCTGTTACATGTTTTGAGAGCTCAGCTTAATGACTGACACACTGTGCAGCTGCTGGTTGCTATTTATTCTCTTACTCTGGCTTGCTATGTATTTAAGAAGGCTGTTCATTCAAAATCAGAAGTATGCCTGACATACTTCACTCTCTGGAACATACAGTACATCTTTTGTGAAGTACAGATCAGAAATGGGCAACATACATCTACGTGGGAATTACATACATGAAATGTCTGATGTCATAAGCAGAGATTGCAAAAGCATAGGTTTCTCCAGATGTGTGGACAAGGAGCCCTAGGGCTTGAGAACACAGTTCGCAACCCACTTTCTGCTCTCCTAATCCCTGTTAGTGCATGGGGGCGAGGGACCCGACTGCCCTCTCCTTCCTCCCAAAGCTTCGGGAAGCTCAGGATGAATAGTCTCTCCGAAGCAGCCCCTGAGATGCCCAATGATGCAAGGCCAGGAGGTGGAAGGACCCAGAACACACTCCTGTAATTCAGCCCTTTGGAGGCAAGGGAGTCCAAAGTTCCAAGCCAGCCTTGGGTATATTGAGCTTGAGGCCAGCTTGAGAACCTTGTTTCAAAAAAAAAAAAGAAAAGAAAGTGAAATATAAATCAGCCAACCAAGTAGAGGGGCAGCACACAGAAAGCCTGGAAGATGACAACTGACTCTCCGAGGCCTTAGGAAACCATGTTTCAAGGCTCTGCCACTTCTAACACCATCTTACCTACTGGCGTTTGGAGAAAGGCCAAAGGGAAGTCAGGGTAGGGACAGCTTTTCCCCCAGTCTTTTTTTTTTTTTTTTTTTTTTTTCCCTTGGATTTTTGAGACAGGGTTTCTCTGTGTAGCTTTGGAGCCTATCCTGGCACTCACTCTGGAGACCAGGCTGGCCTTGCCTGCCTCTGCCTCCCCAGTGCTGAGATTAAAGGCCAACGCCCGGCTACTCTTCCCTCAGTCTTAAGTGACATGCTAAAGGTGGCCACTGCCAGCACTGAGGCTCAAAGGTGGCCACTGCCAGCATCTGAGGCTCAAAGGGGCCTCAGATTCCCTTCTCTTCTGCACCCCCACATTTCTCCTCAG